CGAGGTAGCGGTGGCTGCAGCAGAGCTCCCTGCTGCAATGCCAGAGGCCACCTTGGGTCTGCTGACCCCACAGGGGACATGGCCCTGTCCCCAGGACTCACACCCTGGCACACAGAGCCCATGACTGTTCTGAGCAGAGAGGGAGAGCCACCCTCCCACAACACCCTAAACCACGAATGTAGCAGATGAAGTCAACCACCAGCTCCGGGTAATAACCTGTACTTTGTGCTCTCTCCCACAGCCACAGACTGGGGTTCCCTCCAGAGCCTCCAAACACACCTGCACAACCTGCATGTGAATGCTTCAGGTCCCCAAATAGGGACACTGGGGACCCGCCACAGCAGGACGCAGAGCTGCTGTCCTGTGTGCCTGTCCCCCGCAGAGGGCTCCATCACAAGATCAACCCTCAGACCGCAGAGACAGACCTTGACCCCAGGAAGCAGGAGGCGGGCAGCGGTCTCCTGCCCTGCATTGCACTCTGCTTGGTCCTGGGAGTCTCTCCGGGCCGTCTCCTGCCGCCGAGGCCACACAGTGGCAGCTGTGGGAGCTGCCGGAGCAGATGGATGCAGGCCAAGCTCCAGGAGGTGAGGTGAGCCCCAGGCCTGTGACAGAGCCTTTGACAGAGATGGGAGAGGACCCCAGCCCAGTGGCCACCAGCGCTCTCCACCAGAGCCTTGATCTGACCTCTGACATCCACCAGAGCCTTGATCTGACCTCTGACATCCACCAGAGCCTTGATCTGATCTCTAACCTTCACCAGAGCCTTGATCTGACCTCTGACCTTCACCAGAGCCTTGATCTGACCCTCTGATCTGACCTCTGACCTTCACCAGAGCGCCTTGATCTGACCTCTGACATCCACCAGAGCCTTGATCTGACCCTCTGCTCAGGAAGGGCTAAGGCACCTCAGGAAGCAGTGACTGTCACCAAGCCCCTGTACTGCCCTGGACAAGGGTGCTTAGGGTGCCCCCCACCCTTGACGCCCAAAAAGACCCGTCTCTGAGAGAGAAGGTCCGGAGTCCAGGCGCCGACACAAGTGGCATTTGAAGGAAACAGACACGTGTCTTCAGAGCACCGGCTTCCCACGGTGATAGAGAGAAAGAGGGAGCACCCAGAACGAAGACCATGAAACAGCAGGAGGGGCTGAGAGGCAGGTGTTTGGATAAAAGCTGCCTGAGTCACTTCCTGTCACAGTTGTCACAAAGGTTTGCCGAGTTGCAAAACTGCACTCAGTCGACCTGAGAAACCCGAGGCCACGTGGGCCTTGAGAACACTGAGTCACGGAGTGACCCCGCCCTGCCTGGGGCCCGGAGCCCTGCTGTGCTGCCCCGCGAGGTGCTCACAGCCAGCAGGGGAAGATGGCACCGCAGAGGAGGAGGAGGAGAAATAGCAAAATCCAATCTCCAAGGCCTGTCTCAGACAGAAAAAGCAAACATGTATGATGCATGCAAAAGAGGACTCGGACTGAGCATCTCAGCCTCACACAGACAGAAAAGGACCGGGGCAGCTGGGTCTGGGCAGAGCCCTCGGCAGACCCAAGAGGCAGGAACAACTCAGGAAAACTCCGAACCCCACACAAGCAAGCCTCCCCTCGTGTCTCAGGGACCGAAAGCTTCAAGGGCCACAGGTATTGACCAAAGGAACTAAATGCCTCCTTAAAGATTACTTTGGAGCTGGGCATCGGTGGCTCATGCCTGTCATCCTAGCTACTCAGGAGGCTGAGATATGAGGATCGGTTCAAAGCCAGCCCGGGCAGGAAAGTCCGTGAAACTCTTATCTCCAATGAACTACCAGAAAACCAGAAGTGGTGCTCTGGTTCAAGTGGTACAGCACTTGCCTTGGGCTGAAGAGCTGAGGGACAGCGCCCAGGCCCAGAGTTCAAGCCCCCTAGCTGACCAAACAACAACAACAATAAAATGATAACTTCAGAACCACTTGGAGAAACACTCTCATGTCCATATGGAAATAAAATCTTCTGCACAGGCGTGCTGCACGGGAGGCGGCCCAGTCCGTGGGGAAGGATGCAGGGCCTCCACCCCAGCAACAGTGCTTTCATTGTGCACAACAAAGAAAAATGAGTTGTATAAATGTAATTTTAGCAGATAAAACCAAGAAATAGAAGACTATGTTTCTCAGAGCAGGGAAATCCAAGTGTAAAACCTAAGGGGAAAACATCAAGAAAAAAGAATCTAAAACTGACATGTTTCAGCCAAGAACAGTAGCTTACACCTGCAATCCCAGCTACTGTCCATCTGAGGACAGCTAGAGCAAAGAATGCCAGTTTTCATCTAACCCAGCAAGCTGGGTGTGGTAGCATGTACCTAGCTACAGAAATGGCACAGGTAGGAAGACCAAAGCCCAGTACAGCCCTAGACAAAAATGTTATTAGAAAGAACAAAAACAAAAGGCCGGGACATAGCTTGAGTGGTACAGCACCTGCCTGTCAAGTGCAAGGTCCTGAGTTCAAACCCCAAGTATTGCCACAAAAAAAGGAAACATGTTATAGACAACGAAGTGAATAGAAGAAACTAATCTTGATATCTAAAAAGACCTTAGAGGTTAATAACAGAAGATAAATATCTGAGAAAAGGCCGCTGTCGGAAAGATAATTCATGGAGCAGAAGCACATCTGGTTAGCCGTCTGCACAGTCAGATCCAACTCTGCTCAGTCCCCATGCATCTGCCAGTCATGAGGACTGTGGAAGGCCCAGGCCACTGCACTGAGGTCAGGGACAGCACTGGGCAGGACTTCCACAGAAGCAGGACTGGGCATCCCGGCCCTTTGCCCTGTGTGCTCTCTGTGGGCCATTCTTGCTCCCTGTTCTGCTAGGGGCCTGCTCTGAGATCTTCGGCTCACTGCCCAAACCACACAGCCAGGACAGAGCAGGGACTGGAGCGCCTGTCAGCCCAGCCCCAGGGTTGAGTCTGTCACACCTCTGCCCAGCTGTCTAGGGAGTATGGACAGTCACTCCTACCGCTGGCCTCTGTTTCTCCCCTTGTCATAGAGAGCAGAGAACCCTGTGGAGGTAGATATCATTTCACTGCGACTGGGCCACAGGCATGGCCGGAATTCTGGCCATCACCACGCAGGTGTGTTTAGAGCAGGCCCCTGGACTCTGAACACAGCCTGTCTCGTGAAGTGTGGGGGACCACTTCCCGTCAGGCCAGGGGCACGCCTCAAGTGGGCCGGAGACAAGACCGAGCGGGGGAGGACACGCGAGGAACTGCAGAACAGCACTGTGGGCAGAGGTGGGGGCGGAGCCTCGACTTCCGGCTGGGGTCCAGGAGGCAGCAGAGCTGCTGTGGGTTTCTTTGCTTGTTGCCACACACCCGTGGGTACCACCCTGCCTGCATCTCCTGTGGTTCCTCTCGCCTGGGCTGGTGCGGAAGCTAGGTCTCTTGGATCTCTGACTGGGTTCCTGTTGCCTTGACCCCCATGTGGGTGGGCAATCCAGCCCCTCCCCATCCCTCAGAGGAGGAGGCCTAGCCAGGGCAGAGGTCTGCTGAGGCCACACCAACTTTTCTCTGGAATCTGGCCTGGCCTCCATCCCTCTCCTCTCTGGGGCCTGCTTCTGCACCAAGGGGCTGCTCTGACTGACTGCTGGGGGCCCGGACGCCAGCCCTGGCCAATGAAAAAGCAGGCTAGAGGGACTGTGCCCTAGCGTCACCCGCAATCGCACCTCTAAGCCTGCCGTCTGTGGAGCTCCACTGCCCCCAAGTGCACAGTGTTGTCGGCCCGGGCGCTCCAGCTGTCCCTCCAAAGGAAGTGAGTTTACGCTCTGTTTGATTTCAGAGACAGGTGGAGTCCACACAGCTGGCCGGCTCACCGTCCCTTTTCACAGCCAGGGAATGTGTCCCAGGGAGGCCAGAGGCCTCTTGTACTTGTCTCCCTGTGCTCCTCCAGTGAGCACACACCAGGCAGGGCAGTCCCCCTCCAAAGTTCTCTCCCGGGGCCCCCTGGCTGGACTACCACAGGCAGGTTGCTGGCGACTGCTTGGCTGAACAACCCAGGGGAGGGCGAGGGGGCAGGAAGCCGGGTTTCCTTCCCCATCTGTGGTCCTCTACCAGGGAGGAGGCCACGGTGCCTGACTGGGCAAGCTTGACCCCGGCACCTCCACCCATGGGCTCCGCGGGCTGGGAGCAGAACCCCAGCTGCTGAGCTGAGCAGGGGCTGCCCACCACACCGCACCGCCGGTGGCCTCAGGGACCCCGAGGCCATTCACCCGTGGCCGTGGAGGGCTTCCTCGTTTGGTCAGATGTGCGGGCCCCTGGGCAGGGAGGCCGAGGCACGCGGGCTGGTGGCACGGGAGTCCCGGGCCGGCACTTGGACGGGTCCCTCGGTGACATGCCGTCCCCAGCCGCCCCTCCACAAGGCAGCCGTGTGACCGGCCCCCAGGGTCCACGCGGCCGGCGTCGGCCCAGGGCCCGCACTCGCCCCGGCCGTGCGGCCCGGCCCAGGCCCCGCACTCGCCCCACGCAGCACCAGACCTCCGCGGCCCACTCGGTCACCGAGGCGGCGGCCCGGGGGCGCCCAGGGCTGAGGCCCGGGAGGGGGGCCGCGGCGGACGCGGGACCTGACTCACCCCACGCGGCATCTCGGAGCTCGGGCGTCAGGCCGCGCTGGGTGGCGGGTGGCGGCGCCTGCTCCGGGCAGCAGGCTCCGCGGTCAAATCTGAAGACTCGGCGGTGGAAGCTTCCTGTTCAGTCAGCTCCTCAGAGGAAGTGGTGACAGGAGTGCTGCCGAGGCCCCACGGCAGGCTCGCCGAGGGCGTGGCCTGCCGCCGGGGAGGGCGGGGCCTGCTCCGAGGGGCGTGGCTGCCGCCAAGGGGTGGGGCCTGACCGAGGGGAGGGACCTGTTTGCAAGGGGGACTGCCTAGATGGGAGTGGCCTGCCCTTGATGGGCGGGGTCTGTCACCAAGGAGGGTGGAGCCTGCTGCCGAGGAGAGTGGGGCTTGCCCCAAAGGGAGTGGCCTGTCGCAAAGGGGCGGGGTCTGACCCAGATGGAAAGGGCCTGCCACCGAGGAGGGTGGGGTCTGCCGCCGAGGGAGGGGCCTGCCGCCGGGGGAGGGGCCTGCCCCACAGGCTGGCTCACGCGCCAAGGAAAGAAGACAAGAAGCCGAGGGGGTCGGGTGCATGGTCTCCTGAGCTCTGCTTAGGCCGGCGGACGGGCCTGCCACGGGGTGCCAGCGAGCACGGGAAGAAAGGCGTCCGCGGTCGCTGATCCTCCAAAACAGAGGCCACCCATCATTGGTCCTGACCGATGGGCAGGTGCCCACGGATGGGCAGCGGGCTTGGCTTCCCGGGGCGGCCCGGGACCCCGCGGGCGCCGCGCACAGCCGACCCCAGGGTGGCACCCGGAACGCAACCCCCGGGCTTAACAACGCAGGCAAAGTAGACAGAGGCCTGAGCTCGGCCAGCAGGCAGGAAGCGCCGCAGACCCGGGAGGCCAGGCGGCAGGAAGCGCCGCAGCTGACCCGGGAGGCCAGGTGGGCTCCTTTGCAGCTGATCCAGGAAGGCCAGGCAGCAGGAAGCGCCGCAGCTGACCCGGGAGGCCAGGGGGCCTCCACCGCAGCTGACCCGGGAGGCCAGGGGGCCTCCGCCGCAGGCTGCCCATCAAGAGCCCTTTTCCGAGGACGCACAGTGGAAGCCCCGCGCCGCCGCCGGGGACCGGCAACCGAGGGGAGATGGCACAGCCACCCTTCTCTAGTGCCCGTGCTCCTGGCCTTGCTCGGATGTGGCCAGGTGAGGCTGTCCGTTGGAATGTGGGCTTGGGTGGACAGGTGGGGCTGTCAGAACTGATAACAGGAAGCCCACAGGTAAGCGTGAAATTGCACACCTGGCCCGGAGTTGATGTCATCCCCACCTGACCTTTGCCCTTCTGATGAATGACCCCAGTGAGTGTGTGTGTGCACACGTGCACGCACAGCCAGCGTGAACAAAGGTCAGGGTTCCCCCTTGAAATCCAGACTTCTTTCTGACACCAGCCCGGTTTGCATCACCAGCAATGAACTCCTTTATCCTCTCTGAAAAGTGCTCTTGGTGTCTGCTGGTTGCACTGCTGCAACATGAACAGTGGCCCCTCTGACACCACTGGCCCAGGAGCACGTCAAAGGCTACGCACCGGCCTCTAGTGAAGCAGGCCTGCTGAAATACAAACCAACTAAAAATAATGGTCACTAGCTGTAAAAATAGTGGTTATTAACTGCCAGTTTATAAGAAAATGAACTGAGGAACGTTCCAAATGACCACATAAGCAAACTCCAGGTATGAGAAAACACAACTCAAATAACAAATTTTAAGATTTAAGGGGGCTGGAGAGCCAGGCTCTGGTGGTTCACACCTGTAATCCTAGCTACTCAGGGGAGGCTGAGATTTGAAGGGTCAAAGTTCAAAGCCATAGGGGGGGGGAAGTCCATGAGACTTTATTTAACAGCAGAAAGCTGGGTTGGAGGTGTGGTTCAAGTGGTAGAGTGCTAGTGGAGAAAGCAAGCTGAACAAATGGGAGGCCCTGAGGTTTTTTTTGTTTTGTTTTGTTTTGTTTTTGGGTCCGGTGATGGGGGCCTGAACTCTGGGCCTGGGCACTGTCCCTCAGCTGTTCAGCTCAAGGCTAGAGCTCTACCACTTGAGCCACAGCGCCACTTCTGGCTTTTTTCTTTTTTGCTTATGTGGTGCTGAGGAGTCGAACTCAGGGCCTCATGCATGCAAGGCAAGTGCTCTACCACTGAGCCATCTTCCCAGCCCCAGGCCCTGAGTTTTAAGACCCAGTACCAGCAAATTAAAGGAGGAGGTGTGAATGCAAAATGTCCAGCAGAGACCTGTAGATTCAAAGATTTAAGAGACATCAACAGTCACAAGGCATAGGCCACACATTAAAAACTGTTCATTTTTTAGGTGTTATGAACAGGAGCCCCATCTTTTAGAGTTACATTTCAGCTTTTCTTCCATATATCAAGAGGTGAGGTTGGACCGGCAGTTACTAGTAAAACCATAGCCAAAGCAAGCTGGTCATGACTGATGACCGTAAAAGACAGGGACCTGGCAGTTCAGAAAATGCTTCTCTTGCTGGGCACCAGTGGCTCACACCTGTAATTCTAGCTACACAGGAGGCTGTGAACTTGCAGTTCAAAGCCAGCCCTGGCAGAAAAGTCCGTGAGACTCTTATCTCCAATTAACCACTAGAAAACTGGAAGTGGCACTGTGGCTCAAGTGATAGATGCTCACCGTGAGCTGAAGAGCTGAGGGACAGTGCCCAGGCCCAGAGTTCAAGCCCCACAACCACCACCACCAACAACAAAAAATCCTTCTCTCTTCTTTAATGTCCATGTGAAATTTTCTATAGTAAAGATTAAAAAACAAGCTTTGTTCAGTGGGGAGAGGGTTTCAGTTTGCAGCATGGGGGTAGACAGCACTCACGCTCGCAGTAACTGAGACTGTACTCAATGCTTCTGAGCTTTATATCATGCAAATTTCATCACCACTGGGGGGAAAAACTTGAAAAAAGCGTGAAAGATGGTATCAGATAAACTGTTAAAATATCATCAAAGGCTTAAAAGAAGCAATGGAAAAAATATAATGTGTTAGAAAACACTTCCACAGAAATAGTACCCAGGTACATAGGCCAAGGACAAAGGAAAAAGACCCCAGAAGCCAGAAGGTCCAGGCCAACCCGATAAGAAGGTTAAGGGAAGGATTGATGCAGGTTTGTACAATGTCCGAGACTCGCTTCTGGGCCAGGTGTGGGTGGGAATGACACCAAGAGCATATGCCCTGGGGTGCCCATCACGCACTGGACCCAGAAAGACAGAAAGGAGGGCATACCCAATTGCACTGCAACAATGTTGAAAAGTGAACTAGAACCAAAGTCCACAGGAGGCCATTCTAAATGTAAACCTACAGCAGAAACTGCAAGATCAACGCCACACAGAGGATCTTAGTAGGACTCGGAGTCTTACTGAACACTCTTCTAACCCATTGAAAGGAACTCCAGCAATAGCAACAAAGAAACTCAGAAAACAGGGACTCTAAAAACACAGCTGATCCCGTGAAAGAATCACAGATATTTAAAGCAGCTACTATGCACAGGCTCTGTGAAGCAAGGACAAATGCAAAAGTAAAATTCCCAGCAGAAAAAAAAGAGAAATTTCTAGGAGAGACATAAAAAGCAATAACAATACTGAAAATTAAAAAATAGAAAGAGAAAGAAATACAATGTCACTGAATGGGCTTGCTAGAATGAGGAAGACCGCGGAAAGAGTGAGTTTGAGTACCAACAGCAATCGCTCAATAGGAAGGATAGAAAAGACTGATGAAAGGAAACCAGGAAGAGTGTTTCCCTGGAGACACGGATGTTTTAAAGAAATCCCAGGCAGAAGCAAAGCAATCACAGAGAAGAACTTGGAAAGTTAGGAATAAAGACAGTGGTGGAAATGATGACTTACTTGGGTAGATAGCTGGCTTTTCTCCTCTTCAGTGTGCTTACCATATAAGGCTGAAAGCAAAAAGGAGCATTGCCTGGTGGGCTCCCTGGGCTCCCAGGGCTGAAACATGCTGTCACACAGTGGAGTCAGCAGGAACTTGAGTCACCAAGTTCTTCTGGGACTCAGGCTGTGTAGTTCAGTGGTTGAACTGTTGCTTAGTTTGTGTGACACCCTGGGTTCAATTCCCAGCATTGGAAAAATAAAGGAAAAGGAACTGACAAGTTGAATGAAACCCCTTTGTACAGCTACTTGGAGGTAACTGAAAGTTGTTTTTGTTTTGTTTTTGGTTGGTTGTGGGGCTTGAACTCTGGGCCTGGGCGCTGTCCCTCAGCTCTTCAGCTCAAGGCGAGCGCTCTACCTCTTGAGCCACAGCGCCACTTCCTTTTTCTTTCTGGTGGTTAATTGGAGATAAGAGTTTCATGGCCTTTCCTGCCTGGGCTGGCTTTGTACCACGATCCTCAGATCTCAGCCTCCTGAGTAGCTAGGATGACAGGCGTGAGCCACAGGCGCCCGGCTGAAAGTATTTTTTTAAAGAAAAATTTCTTGGGGTTGGAGGTGTGGTCCTGGTGATCCAACACCAGCAATGAGTGCGCATATCAGATACTGAGGTTGAGTCCCGATCTTAGACAAAAAAAAGTTTCTCCACATCTCATCTATGTGGGAAAATACTCATCTTCAATAGACAATGGAGTACCTAACATGGCATGTACACCAGAATCTATGGAGCAGCCACCAGAGGCCCACGTGGCCATGCAGCAGAGCCACAGAGTGCACTGAAATTCCACATTACGGATATCCACACAGCAGGACACAGGAAGCCCAGTGGACAACCAGCAAACAGAATCCAAGCAGTGGTCTTAATGCCAGCAACTGCCTGGAGGGCAAAGGGGCGTAGTACACTGACTTTAAAGTTGATTCAGGAGCTGGGCATTGATGGCTCACTCCTGTCATCCTCGCTACTCAGGAGGCTGAGATCAGAGAATCGCGGTTCAAAGCCAGCTTGGGCAGGAAAAGTCTGTGAGACTCTTATCTCCAATAAACCACCAGAAAACCGGAAGTGGCGCTGTGGCTCAAGCGTAGAGCGCTGGCCTTGAGCTCAAGAGCTGAGGGACAGCGCCCAGGCCCAGATGCAAGCCCCACGACCAAAAAAAAAAAAATTTGATTTAGGCAAGAAAAAAAGAAAAATGACCTTCTATACTTAAGAGTTTGAACTGCACATCAGCATGATAATACAGGATGAAGAAGAGGAGACTACACCGCCTAAACAAACTGAGAGGAAAGGTGTGCAGCCGTGTGGACAGGTCCCCTGCATCTGGAGACCAGGCAGGTGCTCAGGGCTGTGTCCAAGGCAAAGCCTGAAACCAGCAGCAAGGCTAGCAACGCTGCTCCATGCAGGAGGTACGGAGCTGTCCTGGGCTGGGCACGGGACGTGGACCGAGGGAATTGCCCAGGGCGGGGCCCAAGGATGTAGCGGCCTTGGTAGGCAGCCCGGCGGAGGCTGGGATGGGCAGGGTGTGGCCAAGGGCTCAGGTCCGAGTGAGGGCCTGATCGCAGGTGGTGGCTACAGCACTGACACCTCCCGGTTACCTGTCTTGCCTCAGTAGCTGCCCTGGGAGGCTAAAATCTGGGGTTGAGTGTTTTTGTGATAGCCAGGGACAACTTGATCTTCACACGGAGTATGACCACAGAGTGAAAATCCCCGTGTGGAGGAGTGAGGCGGGGCTGCCCAGCCACTTGCTTCATGACAGGGAAGTGGTAGGCAGAGAAGACCCAGCTGGGGTCAGCGCCCAGCCTTCCCTGGCTCAGCCCCCGCCGGCCCAGTGCCTGGGCAAGGCTGGTCCAAGCTGGGGGAGGTGCTCTCCTGCCCACAGCGCTGGGAGGAACGCCAGGCCCCTCCACTCCTGACTTCCTAGCTCCCCCCCCCCAGACCTGGCATCTAAAGCCAGGAGTGCGTGAGCAGGGCTGGGGTTCTGGAAACGTCTCTTGCTTTCACTTGCAGTCGGGCCTGTCCCACCATGGAGTCTGACCTCTTCCTGGTTGGCAGAGGGGCACACAACTGACTTTCCAGAAAAGGGGAGGTGTCGGCAGACCAGCAGTGAGGGATGGGCAGCCACGCGAGCCTCATGGGGCGAGGGACCGCTCATCCGGGCCTCCTGGCGGGGAGCAGGGAAGGGAGAGCGCGTCCCCTGTGTGCGCCCAAGTGCAGCCTGTGCCCCCTCCGCTCCTCACCCTGCTCCTGACACACAGGGGCACAGCACCGACAGGGGCTCCTTGGGATTCTGGAAGGTTCCATGCCAGAGACCACATGTGAGCAAGATTCAAAGGTTAAGGGAGATTTCAGCGATGGAGAACTTGAGCGGAATTCTCAGGAAGTGCCGGGGAGCATGGTGGCACTTTGCCCAGCCCAGGGGACACGGGGGGGGGGGCCGAGGGGCCAGCGAGGGCTGAGAACTGGGTCAGTGTCATCTACGGCACCTGGGGGGGGCAGCCAGCGGAGGAGCTCGGTTGGGCTTCGCAGCCTGGACTCTCAGGCCGTGCACTCCCTCGCCCTGCAGCCTCCTGCCCAGCTAGGCGCCGTCCCGCAGCCCAGGCTGCCGCCTGCTGCCCGGCCCCATACTTGCCTCTCCTTCCTTTCTGACTCTTCCCCAGTGACTTCCTTCTGCAGTTTAGACTCTGTGGTGAGGCAGGGACCCGAGTGGGGGGCTGGCAGGGGGGCGGGGAGGAGGGGCCAGCCGTGAGACAGTGGCCGTGAGGGGGGAGGAAGTGTACGGGGCCACGGTAACATTTCCAGTCCCAGTGCTCTCACTTGGTCAAACCACAGAAGCGGGTACCAGATTCTAGCCCCGGGCGCAGAGCAGCCAGTCCAGCGAAGGCTAGAGGGAAGAGAAGCAAGGGAAGGGGCTTCCCCGTCACCCGCCCTGCCTCCGCCAGATACCCACAACCTGGCTCCCCACCCAGCCCCAGGCCGACTCTCTTCCTCCTTGACCTTCTTCTTTGTGGTTCCCCCTTCCTCTAGGTGACCAAAAAGGCTGAATTCTGTCTCCTGAAATCACTACTGAAGCAGATGTCTGGGGACCCCAAGAGGCACTGGACTTTGGCTTTAACAGGCTACCAGATAAAACTCACTTTCTAACTCTCTTGAGAGGATGGACAGTGGGACTATAGGGAGAAATGTACACACACACACACACACACACACACACACACATATAATTTGGGTCCAGTCGTGGGGCCTGAACTCTGGGCCTGGGCACTGTCCCTCAGCTCTTTAGCTCAAGGCTAGCGCTCTACCACTTGAGCCACAGCACCACTTCCGGCTTTTTTCCTTTTGCTTATGTGGTGCTGAGGAATCGAACCAAGGGCCTCAGGCATGCAAGGCAAGTGCTCTACCACTGAGCCACCTTCCCAGACTGAGAAATATTCTAAGAAGCATTTCAAGCCAGGTGCCAGTAGCTCATGCCTGTCATCCTAGCTACGAAGGAGGCTGAGATCTGAGATCACGGTTCAAAGCCAACCCAGGCAGGAAAGTCTGTGAGACTCTTATTTTCAATAAACCACCAGAAGACTGGAAGTGGTGCTGTGGTTCAAGTGGTAGAGTGCTCGACTTGAGCTGAAGAGCTGAGGGACAGCGCCCAGGCCCAGAGTTCAAGCCCCACTACCGACCAAAAAACAGAAGCATTTCCTAGGACTGAGCAAGGGTGGGAAGACTGGGCTTTCTCTCAAAGGGATTAAACAGGGAAAAAGGTTAATTACCAACTGGAAGAAAACTAGAAAGCTATGCAAGGAAGAAAATATAGTTAGCCTGTCCATTTTGTTTGGCACTGCGTCACTTAGATGCTAAGAATAAGGAAAGGATCAAAACCAAAATTATGATATAGCTGTGCACATGGGGGGAGGGGGGGAGTGACAGCCTCATGGGAAGGTCAAAGGCCTCCTCTGGTCTGCCCTTCCCCCACCGCCAAGGCCACACTGCTGAGGGGCGTTTCCAGTGGTCATAGGCAGCCCCTGGACTAAGGCCTCTGCTTGCCCTCAGAACATACTTTTCTTTTTGTTGGTTGTGGGCTTGAACTCAGGGCCTGGGCACTGTCCTTGAGCCTCTTGCTCAAGGCTAGCGCTTTACCACTTGAGCCACTTCCGGTTTCTGGTGGTTAATTGGAAAGTTGCAGAGATTGTTTTGCCTAAGCTGTTTTTGAACCGAGATCCTTAGATCTCAGCCTCCTGAGTAGCTAGGATGACAGGTGTGAGCCACGGGCTCAGATACCAAGCTACTATTTCTTATTGAAGGTGTGGCTTCCAGTAATGTCCAAACAGCTACTTGATGGCGTCTCCAGGACTAGTGCTCACTGAAAGCCTGGGCTGGCCGTGACTGGGTTTCTGTAGGTGCTGCTCAAGCTCTCCTCTGCCTGGCGGAGGGCAGGGAGGTGGAGTCAGGCAGCATATCTGCGGGGTCTGACGTGGGGTGCTGGAACAGTGGTGAAACTCCCTCCTTCTCTTGGCCCTCCCCACCCCAGTGTTACAAGGCCTGGCACACAAAAGATGTATTCAGAACTTGAGTGGGGCTATAGCTCAGTGGTAGACCACTCACCTAGCATGGGTGAGGCCCTGGGCTGCATCCCCACTACAAGTAAATAAGGCCGGGTTTGGTGGCTCACGCCTGTCACCCTGGCTACTTGAGAAGTTGAGTTCAGAGAATTGTGGTTTGAGGGACTCCCCCTCCCAGGGTATAGAAGTTCAAGAGACTCTGTCTCAGCAAATGGCTTGGTGTGGCAGAGTGCTGTTATCCCAAGCTGGGGGATGGGGGGGGTGCCCGCCGTGGCTGGGCACAGTGGCACTGGCACATGCCTATCATTCTACTTACGAAGTGAAACCCAAATCAGAGGACCACAGACATACAGTGAAAATAACACAGAAAGGGTCTGGTGGAGTAGCTCAGGGAGTAGAGCATCTGCCTAGCAAGGCCATGAGTTCATACCCCAGTTTGGCAAGGATAGACCAATAAAATTATGGGTGTGTGTGTGTGTGGTGAATCTTTTCTGGACTTACAAAGACGTTTTCTTCACCTTGAGTTTTCTGCTTCACTTTTTAACTTTTGAGCCTGGAAGAACAATTCATTTTCCTGGTCCCGCATGGACAGGTTTCCTGTCATTTCCTTTATCTGCAGAGATGGGCAGGAGGGGCATCCCGTGAGACCCCGCGTCTCTGCTGCTGCCAGTGGCACCAGAGAGAGCACAACTTCGTTGTATTTTCTAAATTGCCCCTGAGAGCCACGCATTCGACCACACTCAAGGATGTGACTGGGCTCGTGGAGCTGCTCTTGTGGTAGGGCACCACCCAGCACACCTGAAAGATGCATAAGTGAAGTTCACGAAACAAAACAACACACACACTCACACACCAAAGGACCCAAGGCCGCTGTCTAGTTCAGAAGGTTTTTGAGAGGGAGAAGGAAAGGAAAGTTGAAAGCAAGCTACTGGGACCACCATCTGTGTCAAAATTACAACACTGGCCACCTCTTCCCAACGCTTTTCCTTCCTCTCCCCGCTTCCTCTGAACCACCCTATACACCATACCCGGCTGGGGGGCCCAGGGGGCTCATGTCCAGGGAGGACATGATTTTTACCCAGGGGACTCCGAAACATGGGAACTTCTCTGCCCCTAATTTACACCTGCGCTCCACAGGTCACCCGAGACGAGGACAGAGAGCACCCCGGCTTGGCTGCAGCGCTGGGGGTGGAGGGGACGGAAGCGGACTCATGAGTCATCTGACTACTAAGGCACTAGACCTTAACCAGCCGCCAAGAAGTCCAAGTGGTTTTAGCCCCAGCCTTCCCCGGGCCGGGCCAAGCCGGAGACGGCGGGCCTGGGGCCAGGTGACCCTGAGACTCAGGCTGGCGTCCTCCCCAGCCCGGCCTGCCGGGACCCCCTCCCCAGCAGCCCGGGCTTCGGGGCCCGGGGGATCGGTCCTGGTTAGGGCCCTGTGGTCACCGGGCGGGCGCGCGGGCTCCGCGGACGCTGCGGTGACCGGGCCCGGCCCCCCA